TAATGATTGTGCAGGAGTGAAGGGGTAGCTGGCTGGCGGGCGTCTTCTCTGAGAAAGTGTACTCATTTCAAATCTTGGCAGGGAGGGAGGAGGTATCAGTGGACTAAAGAGACCAAAACTCTGGGGGAGGCTGACACTGATGAAAGGAGGAACAGCACAGAGGAAGATAAAACATGCTAGAGTTCCAGAGAGAATCTGAGCAGGGAGCCATGCCAACATTCTAGCTCACGGTCAGACACGGAGGGACACAGGGACAAGGCATGGAACAGGTGATGCAGCTATCCCTAAAGCTCGCACCGAGAGTCCTAGATAAAGATGGTGAAGAGGCCCAACTAAGCAAACAAATTGGTACATCTGGGGACCTATCTCAGTGATGAAATTGAAGGCTACTCTCCTGAACTTTGGGGACAGCATAGGCTACCGTCCTCATCTGACTTTATTTTCCTTTCTCAATCAACCAGGTGGCTTTCCAAAGTGGAAAAAGGCCATCTTGCTATTTTCTTCTACTTCACCCATTTCACCTTAAATGTTATCCTTAAAATTACATTTAATTGTTTTCATTTTATTTGAAAGGCAGAGAGACATAGACATAGAAGTGGAGAGAGAGAGAGATCTCTTTTTGCTGGTTTCCTCCTCAAATGCCTGCAATATCTGAGGTTGAACCAGTCTGAAGCCAAGAGCCTGGAACTCAATCTGTATCTCCCATGTGAGTGGCAGGGAATTGAAAACTTGTGCCATCACCTGCTGCTTCTTGGGGTCTGCACTAGCAGGTAGCTGCAGTTGGAAGTAGAACCAGGACTTGAACCCAGATACTCTGACAGGGGTTGCACATGTCCCAAGTAGTATCTACACTGCTGTGCCTAATTCCAATCCCTTTATTCACTTACAGCTGCTGCCCAACTTCCACAGCCGAGCCCCAACATTTTTGGGAATAAACTTTTTTTTAAAATGTATTTGACAGGTAGAGTTATAGACAGTGAGAGAGAGAGAGAGACAGAGAGAAAGGTCTTCCTTCTGTTGGTTCACTCCCAAATGGCTGCTACGGCCAGAGCTGCGCCGATCCAAAGCCAGGAGCCAGGTGCTTCCTCCTGGTCTCCCATGCGGGTGCAGGGACCCAAGCACTTGGGCCATCCTCTATTGCACTTCCGGGCCACAGCAGAGAGCTGGACTGGAAGAGGAGCCACCAGAACTAGAACCCGGCGCCCATATGGGATGCTGGTGCCGCAGGCAGAGGATTAACCAAGTGAGCCATGGCACTGGCTCCAAGGGAATAAATATTTTTAATGTTAAAAAATCTCCAAAAAATTACAAGAGCATTTGTTTTTGCTGATGGGGAAAAATACATGTTGTCAAAATACTGTAAGTGCAGTAACATTTCAGTTAGGGCTTGAGCAGAACAAAAAGGTGGAAGTGAAGGGAACACATCTCAGGGATCTCTTAAGGAAATTTCTAGAGACTCCTGTAAAATCTTTCCTCTTACCTCTCACTGGCCCAAATTTAGTCACATCAATACCTGTGAAGGAGGCTGGGAAATGGAGTTTTTCTCCCCAGCTGTCATGGGTTCAGATAAACTGTGGACACTCTGGTAGGGTAAATGTGTATGGGGTTGTTATCACAGTCTGCTCCAACAGATGCATGCAATTTGCCAAAATTACAAAGCAAGTTAGTGCAAAGGCAGGCCTAGCTGGAGCCCAGTTCTCCTAGGTTCCTGTTGCGTCTTGTTAACAGTGTTTTTATTTTAGCTCCTTGTCTTGTCCACCGAATGGCATCCACGTCTCTACTGTGGGCCGATGCTTCTCTGGTGACTTACCAGGTTTCCTTAATTTGTCATTTTCCTTTTTCTTTGTGTGACATCCTAGTGATAGATGACATGCTGTGTCTGAGTCCTCTTTGCCACACAGAATATTCTCAAGGCACAACAGATGAGAGATTTGGGGCTTAAGGTGGTCCCGTGGGCACCTAAGAAAGTGCAGGGAAAGCAAAGAGGCAGACAGGAATTAGTTGTAGCTCATGGAGAAATTTGTGAGATAGTCCAGAGAAGCTGCATTCAGCAGAGACGGAGAAGAGACCCTTGGGGGGCATGTATGAGGGTGAAATATGTGAATAATAAGGGAGTCTTAGTACTTGGTGATCTCCTGTGTAATATACTTTCAGAAGGTGAAAAAATATTAACGATTACTATGCTGTTGTTGTGCACAGCTCAAGAATAGAGACAGGAATGTTGCCATTTAGGGCATAATAACCTGGGTTTCCAGTCTCCTTTTCCGCTTTTCTTTTGTGTACTATTATGAATTAGCTGGTAAAATTGGGGTAGCAACACCTGCAGAAAATGCATGCTCACCCTGCCTAATACTGTCTTCAAATTCCAACTAAGGGAACTTAAAACTAACAACATCTTAGTCGTTTTTACACCAGGTTCTCATTTTTAAATCATAGAAAGTAGGACACACAGAAAATATTGCCTTATATGGTTCATCTTTATTGAAGCCAAAAATTATTAATAGATAGTTCGTTTAGCTTTGCATGTCTTTCTTCAGGAACAAGAAGTGTGGAGCCAGCTCTTGCCTCTGGTGTGAAATCTTGGCTGGTTGGCTGCTCCCAACGTGATGAGGCAGAGGAGTCAGTCATGGTGTAGTTAGGGAGGTGGAACTAGTGTGAGTATTATGGAGGAAAGGATTCATTGCACAGTGGTGGGAGAGGCTGAAGATGTATGGCCCTGAAAGAATGAATAGGAGGGACGGCACTGTGGCATAGTGGGTAAAGCTGCTGCTTGCAGTGCTGACATCCCATATGGGCACCCATTCGAGTCCCAGCTGTTCCATTTCCGATCCAGCTCTCTGCTATGGCCTGGGAAAGCAGTAGAAGATGGCCTACATCCTTGGGCTCCTGTACCTGCGTGGGAGACCTGGAGGAAGCTCCTGGATCCTGGCTTCGGATCGGTGCAGCTCCGTCCATTGCAGTCATCTGGGGAGTGAATCAGTGGGTGGAAGATCTCTCTCTCTGCCTCTCCTTCTCTCTCTGTGTAACTCTGACCTTCAAGTAAATAAATAAATCTTAAAAAAAAAAAAAAAGAGTGAATAGGAGGATCAGCAAAAAGTGGCTAATCTGTACCCCTAGAGGGCAACTTGGAATTTGCAGGGCAATCTGAGAACCAGTTCAATCCAGCTGACACAGTAGGGCCATGGGGAGAGTTGGTTGAAATGTACTTTCTCTGCACAACCATTGCTTTTGAAGGTTGCAGCCATGAAACTGGTGGCGGGCCTTGGGATGCCCTTGGTCAGTAGCGTTGGCAGTTGGGGAAATCTGTGCACAGAACAGGGAGAGTGAGACATGCTGGAAGCTGCGGTCACCGTCTGAGAAACATGGCTACTGCTTTAGTCCTGCCTTCCAAATCTTACACAAGTTCTTCTTTGGCCAACTCCATTTCAGAACCACAGCGAGGTTCTAGGAAACATGCTTCTGGCTAAACCGAGTTGACACAGTACGCACACCCAGAGGAAAACAGGCAAAAAATGGGAAACCTTGCACATTTTAAGAAAAATCTAATGAGTCTCTGGTTCACCTGGTTCACATATGCACAGGTAAAAATGAGAGGAAATTAGCCAGTTATAAAATATCACATGATATTTCCATTTTGTAAGAGTGGAGTGGCTATAACATTTTATCCTGAAAATCCCATTATAGATACAGTTATCGCTCTTAGTAGCTGCATGGAAAAAGTATCCAGGAGAATTGGTTGAAACACTACATGCTTTCCTGGGTTTGACAGAGTATCAAGAACAGAGGGATGGGCACTGAGGGCCACAGAGTACCCACGCATTCCACAAAGGTGATTTATCCCAGCAACACGCTCCCTAATAGTTTCACACTTGGTGCTTATTAATACTCATTGCATATTTATTTCCCTTAGCTCCATTAAGCTTTAATCTCAGCTGTTTTCTGGCACATTAACAATATGGCAGGCTACCAAAGGAAGACTGGTCATAGATTGAATGTTATGCCAGAGATAACTTGGGCAATAATTGGGTGGATTGGGAAACTGGAGTCAGGGCCTGCTGTGCCCAGAAGATTCCAGAGGCTGTGGAGTCTCGAGCGTGGGCTGCCTTGCCCTTTACAGAGTAGAGGTCTCAGTGAAGCAGTAGGTCGCAAACCTTCCAGGCAGAGGTATGTGCAGTCCCGTTTCCTCAGGGAATTCTCGTAGTATTGGAGAGCGGAAGGAAGAGTTTCAGCCTTGGCACTCTCTGCTCCATCCTAGGCTCACGTGAGGTTGGGTGGCACCGAGAGGCGGTGTCCCTTCCAAGGGTTTCCATCAGTTGGGCTTAGAGCCAGCAGGGTCAAACTGGGGAGGAGAGCCACTCCTTCCCTGCCGCCTCTCCTTCCACTCTCTTTTGCCTTTTAGAAACGCCTCCCCTGGTGCCAGGTGTCCTCATTGAGCCCCTGGCTGCCCAAAGTCACTCAACCTCGTTCTGTCCTTAGGTCAGCTTTGAGCAGCCAGTGCTTTATGCTTCACACTTGCCATTTCCTCTGCTCCCATAAAAGTGTTCCACTCTGACATCCCTCTGAGACATTTTCATCAGCTAATATTACCATCCTGCTAATGGGTTCAAAAATACTCTGTCAGCAAAAGAGCCTCTTTAATGGGAGTAATTGGGTGTGTCTGGTTTCCCAGATTTCCTTGCAAATTCCAAACTGGGCAGTTAATAGGAAGGTAATTTGGACAAGCCATTGGCAGTTTCCGTGGGCCACCTACTCCACCTACATGTAGGATAGGTCACAGACATAAATGTCTCTGGTTAATTGGTAATGTGATTAATGGTTACTGATTCCTGAAACCCAAAGGCCATTGATGTTTTGCTAAATAAATGCTTGCCGGTTGAAGTAGTCCTTGAATATTCTTCGTCCAAGGACTTTGTTCTCCAAATGACAGAGACAGGTTGGGCACCAGTGTTCAAGGAAAGAGTGAGCAGAGGAAGAGGAGCCATCGCAGATGGCAAGGGTGGATGTGGGACCAGGTAGCCAGAACTGATGACAAAGACACCCGAGACTCCAGGCCAGATTTGTCAGCATCTCCGAGCTTGTGGCAAGACTTGGAAAAAGAAGGGGTCTATCACACAGAGGATGGAAAAGACCCAAGAACAGACATGCCAGACAAAACAACTGACAAGATGCACTCAGTTAGTGCCTGGAAGAGGCTCAGACTATTCACAGAAGCATATCCCTTTCTACACAGTCCTGGATCTCTCAGACTTCTGTCATGGGCCCTGTTAGCCTCTCGGTACTACAAGGCTCAGCTCCTGCCACTCACGTCCTAGGAGGTAAAAGACACTTTGCCTGCAGCACATACGGGGCTGATTGGCACAGGCTAATTCATATCAAATACCTCCCCCCACCTTTTACTAAACTATCCACTGGGGCAGGGACTAAGTCAGCTGTAGGGTTCTGCAACAGTAGAGGTTTTTAAATGGTAGTGACTGATGGTGTTTGGCTAATGGTTTTGACCACACCGTAGAGTAAGAAATAGATTTGGGGCCAGGAGTAGTGGGTTAAGCCACTGCTTGGGATGCCCACATCTCCTATCAGAATGCCTGGGAATGAGTCCTTTCTCCTTTCTGATCCAACTTCCTGCTAATGCACTGAGAGACAGCAGATGACGGCTCAAACACTTGAGCTCCCGACAGCCATGAGGGAGACCTGGTCTGAGTTCCCAGTTCCTGGCTTTAACCTGTCCTGGCCCCAGCTGTTGCAGACATTTGGAGGGTGCACCAACAAATGGAAGATCTATTTGTCTCTACCTCTCTCTGTGTGTTATTCTGCCTTTCATATGAATGAATGAATAATAAAACATATGGAAACTGAAGTGAAAGGATAAGTTTCTATATAAAAAGAAGAAATGGTCTCATGGAGAATCGTGGTTTTGTTGTCTGGTCAGCTCTCACTCAGCCACACACACTGTCTCTGGGCCTCTGTTTGCTCAGTAATAAGACTGAGACCCTACCACCTGGCAACCCTGTTTATCTCCCTGGGTTCTTGGGAAGGCCAAATCAGATGGTGCTCCGAAAGGTGCTCGGTCAACTCTAAACCACCATACCAATGTCAGATGCATATATGCGCGTGTATCACAAGGTGGATAATTCTATTTTAGTTTACTAAAATTGAGAGAAAATGTGGTTCACAAAGAATCTGATAAGCTTTCTTGGGAAAGAGATTGAGATGCCGAAGACTCTAAAGATTCCAGTGTTTCAGGAAAGAGAGCAGAAACACGCTACCTGGACTCAGTGGAGTTTTGCTTGTGTTTTTTTGCGCCTGCAGTGGGTGGGAGGGAGAGCATAGGGTGAAGAGGAGAGAGAGGAGCCAGAGACATGGAAAAGTCTGTTAGCTGTATTTCTAGATCCACAGGACCAGAGTCCCTCCACAAAGAGCTTTGAAAGCACAAATTGGGAAATAAATTTTGCCCTCTTAAGCCCATTGTCCTCTGAGCTAAGAATGTGATATTCCAGGACACAGGAATGGGCCTTTTGTTCATTTTCTATAGAGGCTTCAGGAGTTTAGGTGACAAGGCAGCATGGTTTGGCACAAACAAAAGTCAGGACAGACCCGCAGTGTTAAATCCTGGATGGACAAAGCTGGCTGTGCCAGTGCCAGTGCCAGTGAAGCAGAGGCTGCTGGTGTGGTTCGAGGAGACCAGGGAGGCACCAGCTGCCGAGGAGGGAGAGCCTGGGGCTTAGGATGAACGTTCACGAGGGAGATGATACGTTCAAGGAACACAGTGCTGCTTGTGATGTCACAGCCAGAAAAAAGGACCCACTCCTAGAGGTGGAAAAGAATCTCCTTGAACGTGGATTATCATGTATAGAATGTATTGGACTTAACGCTGCTCTCTGTGGCCTAGTACACCTCTTTTTATCACGTAAAATATACAAGGTACAAAATGTGCCATCTCGGGGCAGGTGTTTGGCACAGTGGGTGAGACGCCTCTTGGGATGCCCACATCACATATGGGAGTGCCTGGATTTGAGTCCCAGCTCCTTTCCTGGTATCGGCTTCCACTACTGGGCACCCCGAGAACCAGCAGTGGTGGCTCAAGTGCTTGGGTTCCTGCATGCATATGGAGACCCAGACTGACGTCTTGGCTCCTGGCTTCAGCCCGACCCCAGCCATTGTTAGGGGAGTGAATCAATGGGTGGAAGATTCTCTCTCTCTCTTTCTCCCCCCCCCCACATAAATTTAAAAAAATGCCTAAAATTTTACCATCTTAGCTATTTTTCAAGAGTGGAATAGTGAGCTAAGCCACCACTTAGGATATCTGTACCTCTTATCAGAGCTCCAACTTGAGACCTGGCTGCTCTGCTTCTGAATCAGATTCCTGCTACCGTATCCTGGGAGGCATTGGATGATGGCCCAGTAATCTGGTTCCTGACGACAGTGTGGGAGTCCTGGATGGAGTTCTGGGCTCTTGGTTTCAGCCTGGACCAGCCCTGGATATTGTGGGCATTTGGGGAATAAACTAAGGAGTAGAAGATTTCTCTCTTTCAAGTAGATAAAAACAGTCTTTAAAGATACAGGTCTGTGGTATTAGATGCGTTCCTATTGCTGAGCAATTGTCACCGACAAACATCTCCAGAACTGTTTATTCTTCCAGATTGAAACTATACCCATTAAAACTTCACTCCCCATTATTCCTGCCTGAGCCCCGGGAAGTCACCTTTTCCTACTTTCCGCCTTTATGAACTTGACTCCTCTACATGCTTCATGTAAGTGGAAATGCATACAACTTGTCCTTTTGTGGCTGACTTATTTTACTCAGCATAGTGTCGGCAAGGTTCATCCGTGTAGTAGCACATGTCAGAATTTCCTTCCTTTGCAAGGCCTAATAACAGCTCATACTACGCACGTGCCCTGTTTTGTTAACCCTTTCAGGCGCCGATGGACACTTGGGTTGTCCCAGCTTTTTGCCTATTGTGGATGATGGTGCTGCGAACACAGGTGTGCAAATCTCTGGATCCTGCTTTTACTTCTTCTGGCTGTAAACCCAGATGGAGAGTTGCTGGATCGTGTGATAACTGTGTGTTTTGAGGATTTGTCGTGCTGTTCTCCATGGTGGCTGCCCCATTGTACCTTCCCAATGGCAATGCACAGGGGCTCCCACTTCCCCACATCTTAAGAGGCACCACAAAGATTGTTCCTCAAGTGTGACACTTGCACATCCGTCTGCCGGCTTGCCTGGCGGAGATCCCATTTCTCATGGTGCTTGTAGCTTATAAAGGTTGGGAAATTCGCTTTGCTGCCGGTGATGTGGATAGTCATATCCATACTGTAACATGGGTGGAATGCTTGGTCCTGTTTTTTGGTGATCTGGACCAAGTTTTTCTTGGCAATATCTGTGAATAGTGGCTTAGTGGCAAGATACCTGAAATTCAGCCCTACTCCCAGAAAAAGGAAGCATCTTAACTTGGCAGACTAGAATTTCTAACCTCTCTTTTGAAAGATGTTATTTTTCACTTTTTTAAAAAAATTATTTAATTTATTATTTGAAAGTCAGAGTTACACAGAGAGAGGAGAAGCAGAGAGAGAGAGGGAGAGAAAGAGAGGTTTTCCATCCAATGGTTCACTCCCCAATTGGCCGTAATGGCCGGAGGGGCACTAATCCAAAGCAGGAGACAGGAGCTTCTTCCGGGTCTCCCATGTGGGTGCAGAGGCCCAAGGACTTGGTCCATCTTCTACTGTTATCCCAGGCCATAGCAGAGAGCTGGATAGGAAGAGGAGCAGCAAGGTCTTGAACTGGCGCCCATTTGGGATGCTGGCACTTCAGGCCAGGGCGTTAACCCGCTGTGCCACACAGTGCTGGCCCCTATTTCTCACTTTACTCCAGACTGTTTGCAACTTACCTTGAATCTAGAAAACAGAAACTACACATAAAAGCTCTTCTCTTCCTTGGAACTGGTCAGAAATTCACAGATTTTAGGTAAATCTCTACATAAAGACAACACTGTTGGGAAAACAGTGGAGGGCCGGGGACATTGTAGGGTGGTGGTGTTGGGGTAGAGGATGGTGGTGGTGAAAGCGTGGAGCTTCTTGCTTTCTCCCTACCAGGTGCCCCTGCCTAGGGCGCTGGGGTCTTGTGGCAGGGTCACAGGATCTATAGGAAGCACCTCTTCTGTTAGGGCCTGCTCTGTCTGCATTTTCAATATCCTGATCCCTGAAGAGTATCATAAGTGTGATGTGGTATGTTTTCCAGATTGATTTTTATGTGTTTTTAAACTTTGCTCAATTTCTTAAAGTCTCCAAATGGGAACTCTCTACCTCTGCCTTCAAGAAGCGGCTTCTGTGCTGGTTGTTCTCAATTCCTCCTGTTTCCTTCTGGTTTGACCGAGGCGCCTCCAAGGACTGATGCTGCCGGTGCCTCTCACCGAGGGAAAGAAATCAGCTTAGCAAAGGCATCCACCTGCCTTCAACCCAGGGACAAGCCTGCTTTAGATTTCATGCTTGACCTGATTGTCAATTATGTCTCAGCCTAGACTGGGTGTGCTACACTTGGGGTAATCTGGGCAAAGGGTGTCAAATTCCCCATGAACTTGTAGAAAGTAAGCCAGGGCCTGGCCTTGTTTCACAAGTATCTTTGCAGCTAATTTACCATTTCACCATTTACCCAATTTACCATGGTGGCGACTCCCTTCTCCCACTCACATTCTCCAGGCAAGTTCTCACCTGACAGGGGGTGGGTGGGAGGGAGGAGGGGGGAGGGGGAGGGGGAGCGAGGGCGGGGCTCCAGAGTCAGGAGACTCCCTTCTGCTCAGTCCGTCATTAGCAACTTGTGCTGACTTGGTGGAGAGGCAGCTACTTGGAAACAGGATGTTCGGTGACGCGTTGGCACGCAGACCCTGGAGTTCTATTCCCCATGGGGCTGCCCATCTATGCTTGCTTACAACATTCAGTGCTTCTTGAAAACAGTTTTATTTGAAATGAATAATTTTTTTTTTTTTTTTGAGCAAGCTCTGTGGAAGGGTAAGAAGCAACATCTCTCCATTTCCCCTTCCTCATTCTAGCGCCCCTAGCGTTGGGTCTGTGCCTTTCAGATGTCTCCTATGCACCCACTCTCACACACACTCACATAGAAAACACCCAAATAGGTCATAGCATGCATACAGATTTTATCGCGTATCAGTTATTTGTCTAT